CAGGCTCAGTGTCACCAGCAGCAGCCACGGCTGCCCCACACCGCCCTCCAGGAAGCGCCCCAGCAGGGGCTGGGCCTGGGGGCTGCTCACGAAGAGCTCCCAGGGCTAGGCACAGGCTCCGAGCAGCCGGGCCTGGGGCTCCCAGCTCGGGGCAGCCTCCATGGGTCTCCCCGCTTGCTCCTCCTTGGCCCGGAATGTCGCCCCTGGCAAGGTGCGGCCCCAAGCACCTGCCTGTTTTGCTGGTGCCTAGAGCCGGCCCTGAGGGGGAGGCAGAGGCATGACTTGCATGTGAGCTTTCTTGGATGTTAAAACATCCACTTACCAAAATAAAACCACCGAGCGGAGTCTGACAGCTTCTTCCCTCATAAACTGGAGAGGTTAATGCTTGACTCCAGCAGCAGCTGAGCGCCTCACCCTGCTCCCAGTGTAGCCACAAGCGTCTCATGAGATGTGTAGCTGAGGTGTCTCCTGCTCCAGTCCTCCTCTATAATCTGGGCTCTGGATTGGACTACATCTCCCATTCCCTCTTGGGGAGCAGCAGCAGCAATGTCTTAGCAGTTGAGTGGCCAGGGTGCATCATGGGAGATGAAGTCCATCTGGGGAGCCCAATCCGTAGAGCAGTGGTGTTTACATTTAGGGTTGTGACCCAGGGCTGGGTTGTGGAATGTCGGGCGCTGGGTCTCGTTGCTGCAGGGGGATCAGGTGATCAGCAGGGGTGCTAAGGCAGCTCCCTGCCTGTCCTGACGCTGCTGCACCCCAGAAGAGGCCGGCAACAACCCCAGATCCTAGATGGAGGAGGTGGGGAGAGCGCACAGGGCTCCATGCACTGCCCCTCCCCTGAGCACTAGCTCTGCACCCCCACAGGGCTGGGAACCTGCCGCTGGCTGCTTCTGGGGTGCAGCGCTATCTGTGGTACCAGGAGACACAAGAAGTTGCCTTTGCACCCCCGCTGCACCACTGACTGGGAGCCACACAAGGTAAACCCCTTCTGCCCCAGCCTTGACTTCCTCCCCCCCAAGCCAGAGCTTCCTCCTACACCTCAAAGCTCTCACCCTCAACCTCACCCCAGAACCCACGCTCTAGTCACATTACGTTGGGTTGCAGCATCAACAAATTTCTTCAACTGGGTCATGAGAAAAAAAAGTTTGGAAACCACTGAGTTGGGTGGTGTGAGGCACCCAAACTGAACTCCCATGAGGCACTGCGGCGGCTTTTCAGAATCCCAATTATGTGGGGGGATCTTGAGTTTTTTGGACCAGAACATTCTGAGGAAAGTGGACCCGTTGGGAGGAAGAACGTCTGGTTGAAAACCCATTGGTTTGGCCCACTCTTGACTGTGGATGGAAATTTTCCACCTGGTGTGGCTGCCCTGGTTCTCAGAGTTCTGTGTCCCTGTGTCTGACACGGCGCTCACTGGTTAGCAGCCATCACACAGATCTCTCTGCTGCTCGCATAAACAGGAAATGCCTTGGTGGGTGTTTTGCTGGCTGGTGCTTGCTGTGGCAAGCCACAGGGGTCTGCCTCCTCCTTGTTGTTAGCCACTTTGCATGCCTGTGAACGGCCTGGAGCCAGCTGCTCTCCTGTTTGCGGTCAGTTATGACTAATCCCTCTCGGCTGGCGGTACTGCAGCAGAATGCAGTCAACAGCTGTGGGAGCAGACTGCAGCTGAAGTCACTGAGCAGGGTTCCTTGCTCCCCATGCCCCTGGCATCAGACCCTCCCAGATCCACCTAAATGCCTCTGAGTATCTAAGCCTCATCTTAGGGGGCTGCCATTCTGCTCTGGTGGCATCTCACCCCCAGCATCAGTGGTGCATCAATCCAGATCTAGGCTCGCCCCGTTGAAAGGAGAACACCCGTCCGCAGATCTGACACCCCTGAGCACAGGATGGAAATGACCACTCTCTGGTCAGGGACAGGCCACAGGCTGATCTTATAGCTTCTCAGCCCCAGTGAGACTCGGTGAGCGCAGCCCTTGCTGCTCAGCCTGTAGCAGAGCCCCCCGTGGGGGAATGGTTGGTGCTGT